GTCCCATAGGGACCCTTGCCCCGGACGGAGACCGTGAGGTGGAGGCCCCGCGGCACAGAGGGTCCCCACGGCACAGAGGGTCCCCGCGGCACAGAGGGTCCCCACGCCTTGGGGAGCTCAGGCCACCAGGCCTTCAGCCTCTGCTCCAGCACGGCGTAGGCCTCGTGGGTGCGTGACTACCCGTGGCCCTGGGCAGGTGGCCCCGTTCCCCTAAAGCACTACTCCGATGGAATCTCCTGCGGTTGGGCAATGAGCTGGGGCCCATGTTGTCAACATTTTGGGTGGTCTGGGACTTGGACATGCACATGAAGCTATGCTTTGCTTTTAAAGAATGTTAAGAACTCAAGTTTCTTAATTGGCTCTCCTGAAACAGAAAAATAATTTGTGTTCAGCAGGATTCTTCATGTGGTAGGATCAGGCCGTGGATGTCCTTGGAAGATGAGGGTACTGACTGCTTCCAGCATCAGATGGCTTGCAATTGCTTTGTAGTCTTCAGTTTACCAAAGGAACGTGAATTAACATTAGAATAGCACTGAGGAGACAAGTACAAACCTGCAAATGTAATCAGCTTCTACAAGCTGATTCTAATGGATGATTAGAATCCAGTAGCACCGAAATTAAAAAGGTAATGGTACACACAGACAGGAAAATAAACTTACAGATATTAATACCATTAAAACAAAACGATGTGTTGCATCTTAAGGGTATATGCAAACACCAGATATTTTTTTAAGTTTCTTCCATGTTTTGTTGAAAAGAAGTACATTTTCAGAGAAAGCGTATTTTCATTTCATTTTAATTCATTTCAGAAAAACATCTTTTCCAGAATGCTGTCCCTAGAATTGATTTCTTTTAAAACCTTCAAAGAGGATTCCGAGTCCTGGCTTTGCAATAGGAATGGGGACATTTTTGCAAACCTGAGGCCTTGTGCCGCCAAGCTCCCAGGTCTGTGTGAAGAAGTGTCCCAGGCACAGCTGTGTCACCAAGTGTTGTCATTGTCATAAAATTTCTGAGACCCAAACCAGTAGCCACATCCTCGCCGGAGCCACAGACCCCAGACCTACCAGCTTCTGGCCACCAGCTAGTCTGCACAAATCTCAAGTGAAAGTGTGTCGAACCCAAAATGTTGCAGGTGAAACATTTCAAACTCAACAAGTGAAATCGGTTTGCTCAGCAAAAGGAACTAGTAGATAATATAGTCACAAAAATAATTAATTTATAATGCTATAGTCCTGTAAACTAGGACTCCCAAAGCATTTCACAAATGGTGAATTAAGCTTCACAAGCATCCTCTGAGGTAACTAAATATTAAATAGATAACATTTTATATGGGAAAAATCAGACGATATGTGACAGCTGCAGAAAAAAATAGAAACTATTTTTTTTTTTTGTCCCTCACTTTTAGTGAATCAAATATTCTTGTGTGAAAGAAGGAATTGTTTCTACTGCATGATTTTACACTAGTAATCCTTCTTTTCTCTCTCCTTTTTCAGATACCAGCGGTATGTTATTGAAACGGTTGATTGTCCTAGCAACATCACTCAATAAGAACTGAAAAGGAACAAGCTCGTGGTTATATGGCTGCGTTTTTGCTAGCTGTTGGGGAGACTTTTGTCGTTTATAATTTGTATAATTGTAAAGTTCCCTGTGGAGAAGAAAACACAATAGAAAAAGTATATTTTAAATGTTACTAAAATACTATTACTTGTATTTGTGTTTCTTCTTGAGTTTGTGGTCCATGAAAATCTATGAGTGCAGAGCTAAGAGATACTCCATAGTTCTTTATTTCTGTCAGGTTTTGCCAAAAGATAGGCCCAAAGCCAGGGTAGCATTGGTTCTAGCACTTGCATAGTTCTAAGGCTTGCATTGGTTGTCAGTTGTCAGTTGTTACCTTATTTTTTTGCAAATAATGAAAATCTACTGGTTAATTTTCTAATATTGTCTGGCAGGGACTTCTTTTCCTTTGTGCCACTCTCAATTTTCATTCTGAAAACGTGCTTGAACTCTTCCATGTTGTTTCAATGGCTGAATCTATCTTCCTCTGCTCCATTTGATTTGGTGTAACTCCATGTAAATTGACATGAGGCGATGACTTCCACGTAACGCGTGTGTATTTTGGGGAGGATTTTGTCCCTCAAGCAGCCAAGTTAGATATTTCATAAAATTGCACAGCCTACACTCTGTATTTCTTTCTTTCTCAAATTCCTTCTTTACCTTTCTTTCTTATTTGCTCCCATTTTAGCATTTAAATCCCTCGATTATTGGTATAATGCCATGTCATGGATTTTCCTTTGCATTCTGAAGGACAGCCCACAGCATTAAATAACATTTGCCTAACAGAGCAGTATGAAACATCAGGCAGGCTGAAAATATCAGAAAACCAAGAGCGGACAGACTAAAAAGTATTTACATGCCATATGCTTCCTGTGTATGTTATCCTTTATGCAAAGCACGAAGCACATGTTACCTCAAACAGTTAAAAAACTTCTGGAATTTTTGAAATAAAAATTAAAATAATCCAGTGGGTGAAAGGGAAGCCGAATAATCAAGGTTTTCTAGCAAAGTAGCAACTCTGACAGAAGGAAATACAAAAAGACAAAAATCACGTTGTCATGATTTTGCTAAGGAAGCAGAAAACGCACAACAATTTATGAAGTTATCAAGTTTGATAATCACATACCGCAATGGTCATCTTCCGTTTCAAAATTGGGCCATTTGTAACATCGCCTTTCAAAAGTTCAGAATTGCTTTTAAATTTTTAACCGCACCTGCACAAAATGGCCAATGAGCATAAACACCTCCGAATCTTCACAGCACCGAGGAAATTCGAGGATTAAGGAATGGGGAATCAGCACAGGAATTATGTGCCAAGCTACAGAAAAATAGTGGAATGATTTCTCAAGACCTGCAACAGTGCATGGCAAGATGAGAAAGCAGGAAAAGCGCTTTGCTGTGAGGCTACTGGTGACAGTAACTGGTGTGGGCCTGTGTTCAAGGTGGGTACGTATCTGCAAGGAATGAAGTTACTACAGTTTTGTAAAGTACCACTGCTTATCTGATCTGCAGCAATTACATACTCATCCTTCCCTACTGCCCTTCCAAAATAAGTGCATGAGCTTAAACTGGCCGGAAGGCGGGTTCGCATTTAATTTTCCACTGTCGCTAACACTGCGGTGAGTGGATGAGGAGAGCTCCACACCCACAGCTCTCCAGGTTCCTAGATCTTTTGTGTCTTTTCTGCCATGGGCTGCCAGTTTCCAGCAGCCACAGGTGCAATTGCAGCATGGGTTAATGTATCCAGGACCAACGTTACCCTGGAGCTTGGGCAGCGGTGAAGATGGAGATGGAGTGGCCTATGGTTCTGTAGGAGTTAGTCATCAAAATTAATTAGCCACACTGGTTAGGCTAGGGGCTCCTCACGCGTGCATCAGAGAGCTGTCATTTTACTTTCCTAATGGATAGCCTAACAACTGCAAAGAACACACAGTAAAAGAGAAATACCTGTTCCTGAAGCTGAACAAAAAATTTGCAACAAACAAACAAAACCCCCAAACCCAAAAGCAAACATAAAACCAGTTCAGATTGGAGCATTGAAATGTTTTACCCACAGCAGGCTTTGCGTTCTCCACCAGCTAACTGATAGCTGCACAAACTGTGGGCATGAGTAAGTTATCGTGGCATTTTTCCACCGCAGTCTAGACAGAAAGGTTATTTTCCATGTGAATAACAGAGCCTAGTTTTTCATCCATTATCACCAGTCTTAGAGCCCAAACAGCTAAATATGTCAGAGGTATTCCTCAGGCCGAAAATTTCTCAGATTGCTCCACGCATCCTATGTTTAATCTTTGAAAGCTGATGAGGCTCTTAGCATCCTTCATTTATTTTTACTTATTGAAAATCTAATGGAACGACACGCTAGGGATCTTCACCACCAAGTGCTGAGTGTCTTTTGAAATGTACCTAATGCGCAAAGATTTTTGGTCAGGGGATGGTCTGCCTTTCACAAGATTGGCTTCTTAGTGCTCTAAATGGGCAAAACTGAGACTCTGAGGGGAGTAGACAGCTTGGGGAATTGGAAGTAAGAAAGCAGCTGAGCTCTAGAAAATGTGTATTGTTATTATACTATTATTATTGGGTTTGTTCTTTACTGTAGAAAAGATGCAATAAGGTCAGGGCTTCATAGGAACAAGTAGGCAATGACCTTTGCTTGGAAATCTGATCATCTAAAATTAACCAGAACACAGCGAGCGGCTGTAATAAAGAGCATGGAAGGAGTAAGGTAAGAAAATGAAAACTGGGAGCTGTGTGATCGTGAACCAAATCACCTTTTCAGGCTTCAAAGGAGTGAATCTGAGATGAGATTTGAAAGATGACAGGGAGGTAGCTAAAGGGATCAGAGCCAGAACTTCAGTGAAATGTATACGTGAATAAACTAAATATTGCATAGGAGCTTATCGGACATTTTAGTAACAAATGGGAAGTGTACAGCTTCAGGCTGCCTGCTGACAGAATGAAACAACATCTTAAAAAGAAACCCCTTCCTCGTTACTGTCACGTAGACACAACCAACAACGCCACCCCTCTTGAATGTCACTCTCACAATGGTAAGTTAGCCTTGACAGCTCCAAGGTCAAATGGAGTCAAAGGAACCACCAAGAATTCAACCAACGGACTGTACTTAGTGGTTACCGTGAAAGACTCAAAGTAACTGTAGCTGGAGTCTACTCCCAGTTTTCATCCTTCTGGACCCTGCAAGGTCCACCATGTGCAGTAATCCAGGCAGGTCCCTTTGTGTGGAAGGTTCCAAGCTGAATTTGAGCCTCATGTCCTTGTGCCTCCGACCCTTGCGGGTCCTGGTATGGAGATGAGCTGGGGAAGGAGCACCGCGGCAATACAACTGTGGGCGGTCTATCTGGAACTGTCAGACAGCCCTACATGGATGCTGTGGTCTGCATCGGTTGCCTAAGGTTGTCAAAAAGCCACCTCTGGTCCTCCCCTGTCTTGCACAACACAGCTTTGAGTCAAGGTGATCTGTGACTTCAGGCTTGCCTTTTTTTATTAGCGAACCTTTTTGTCTCAGATTTTTAGCTCCGAAATGAGTCTAAAATATTTATGTTTGCTTGCAGAGATTGGAATCCCACTTAAAGAGTAATTTGAATAGACTGGGCTTTTTTCTTCAGATGAAAGCTTCCGTGTTGACACAAACTGGCATACCCAAGTTTTCTTCTTTCCCAGGGTTGTGTAGCTCAGAGTTGGTTTTCCTTTTGTGTCATCCTCTTTCACATAAATCAAATATAAGATACCACTACAAATGTAAACATTAACCTGTGAAAGTATCAAAAATAAAGTTTTCTTACTTTACAGAGCGTGAATAGCATAGAAAGACGTGATTCTTGCGTCCAAGAGCTAACACATTAAATTAAGCAGATGGCATAGGAGAGAAACTTGGCGCAGTGGATAATCAGTAGGTGCACTCATCACAGGCCAGCAACGCTGATACCCATGTTCAGATTTTGCAGATATGCAGTTGTGCGTGCTGGATTAATACTGACAGAGAATAGCACCCACAAAGTTCGCAGGAGGCCAAGGTTGCTTATTTCCAACTTAACTTGGTCAAAAAGGCAGCAATAAAGCCTCAGGACTATTTATAATTGCATGGGTTTACAGCATTTTCACTGTGTGTGATTCCTGATGCAATGGCATGATTCACAGCCTAATGGATGTGTGAAAGACCCTGCTGAAAGCCAGGATTGGAGGGATATTTCATGGTCTTGCGGAAAGTCCTGGGACCCTGGTTGTTTTGCGTGGGAGCTCAGATGGTCTTTCTTTACCTGAAGAACACGGAGAATAACGGGGCACCCCTAGAGAAAATTCTGCTGCTATTCAGTCTTTCCTGACCTAAAAAAAACCCCAACATCTGTACAAACCAGATATCAGCTCACTTTGCAACTCCACGCACTTCATTTAGGTTATTAGCTGAGACTATTAACAAGGTGGCCAGTTAGCCATGGCTGCAGTGGCAGGGGTTTTTTTGGCTTACAGACACCTGTGCAGAAGGAACAAGGCTGAGCCCAGCCTTGTTCATTCATCAGACGGTGGCAACAATAAATGACTGAAGTGTTGAGCTGGATTTGAAGAGGTAGCACAAAGATAAAAGACTCCAGAAGCCCTTCGCAATTCCCTTAGTCATCCATTCCCACCAAAGGCTTCTCTTTTGAAGTTTCCAGGAGGCCTGGTGCGCCCTTTGGTCGTCCTTTCGGTCAGAGCTCTTATCTGTCTAGTGCAGACCCGGCCTCTTTTTGCTTGCACTACTCAAAAACAGTTATTACAGGATAAACAAACTCTATTTGCTGATGCACGTTCTCAGTTTCCTTATCAGCTGAACAACACGCTTCTCGTGCATGTTGGGTCAAACTCGCTGCTGGTCCAGCTCCAAGAATTCTAGGGCGACTGCACCACAGCTCAGCTCACTTGGCGCCCGCTTGCACCTACTGACTGTAAAAAAACCATAACCACGTTGCAATGGAGCATCATCTTCCGAGCCGACTGAGAATTTCCCGGTGTTGCAAAGCATCCTTAGGTTGATGATTGCAGGTCTTAGATCTTTTTTAACAACACATCAACATGATATCTGAGCGCTGGTTTTGGGTAGCTGTCAAGATGCTTCGGGATATTATCAGATTGAAGACTATGTATCTTATTGTAGAAGATTTCAGTTTTATTGCGATTGTCTCTTTAAAATAAATGTAAGTAAGCAAATCGTCTGTATCTCAAAACCAGTTTACAGGTGTTGTGAAATACATTGGTAAAGTTACCTGATATGAGATACAAGACACACACCTGAGGAGAGAAGAAAACCAAACCCCTAATCCCAGCCCAGATTCAGGGGTCTAAAAAAGTCAGAAGGCTGGAGAATTATGTCAAGGGCTCAGCCTTCATGGTCAAAAAGCCACTCCCAGTACTAACAAGCATCCAAATCTACTGCCGTAAAAAGGGAAAATACATCTTGTTGCTGACACGTTATGTTATGGAAGCCACACACAGAGAGCAGGTGTCATTATACAGTATTTCACTAATATGGGGATCACCAGTCGGTTACAAATAAGCTCTTCTGCACTCTCAGGGGCTTTTGCCTCACTGCTTGTATCTCAGATGCTGGCTTACTGGTCTGCTGCACTGCTGCTTCCCGATCCTTTTTTGCCGTGAGTAGCCTGGCAAACATTTGTGGTAGCTTTCCTGCAAGAGAAACGGAGAAACGCGTTTACTTTTTTTGGCTTTTAGACAAGAGGGCTGCAATGATTAACAGAAACAAGAAAACAAAAGCCTGCCTGACTTTTCAGGCTTCTTTCATAGCCTTCTTCGTTCAAGCTTTTACCAACCAACCCAAGAAGATACAGCCCCGAAGAGGAAAAATCTCAGCAATCAGAGCTGACTGCAAAAGGAGTTCGTTCTCTTGGGCCATGGCTTTAAAAGATTATTCCTCTCCCAGCAGTGCAGGGCAACAGCTACTTTCCACTACCTCAGTCACTACTGTCATAGCATCCCTCCTTCGCTCCCCCATTCCTGCACCTCCACAGAAGTCAAACCCCTTGCAGCTGGTTATAGGCTTCACTGCGTTATGCCGATGTATAAATATAACCAGAATATGCCAAAGGGAGAGAGCAGAGATGATCAGGAAGCATTCAGCAAAAAGTGTATTCACCCTTTTCATTGAAAAAAGAAAATCTCTTCCCTGAAAATCCGGAAAGGGTTTTTCATGTATGATCTGTTTGTCACCCCCAAAAAAGTAAATATTTGAAAACTAAATTTTTAAAAGAGAAGCAGTTTAACAGGAGCTTTTTGATCCTCCCTTTGCTGTTGGCAAAGAACACAGATAAGGGGGCTTAGGGGTGCCTCAAGCATTGCTTGAGTATGGCTACAGAGAGTGGAATGGTGGCTCGCTCTCTGTGTCAAACACATTTATTTTAGCCAAGGTTCATGGGTATTTACCAGCCATGCCCAAATGTCCCCACAGGCTGTTCACTCCTGATTCTGCAAACACAGATGAGCTTCATATACTGGATTGCCTGTCATGCAGGGGGGGATGTATATCACTGTCAGGCATAATTCATAGGAAGCAGCCATATAAAATGCTATTTGAGGCTGCTCTCCAGCGCTCAGAGCGCATTTGAGATCCCCACTGTCGGACAGGTCAGGCCATGCGGTACCCATACCTGCTTCGTCAGCTGTTGCCAAGTGGCTGGCGGTTGAACGGTCGCACGCAAGCCAAGAGATCCAGCTTCTGCACTCATAGAAGTTCAGCTGAGTTACTGTGTGAGTTTGAAGCAGGTCAGGTTCACTTTGTGCCTCAGTTTCCCCACCTATGGAGCGGGGCTCGTAGCTTAGAAAAGGAAAGAGTAGTGCATTGATGCATTAATGCTTGCAAGGCACTCGAAAAGCATTGAACAGAACATGGAATAGTCCCGCAAAAAATGTTTATTAATTAACCATCAGAGATCTGCTGGTTTATTAGCAACCTGTCGGAGATGTGCCTCCTCATTAGCTTGGGACAAAAGAACCCACAGCAGGAGGGAACAAGCTGCTTCAAACAAGGTTCAACTTTCCGCCAGTTTAATCTTCATCTCATGGCAGACTTCTGAATCTTAATTTCATTATAGTTCCTTAAATGTTTTCTGATATCGTATCTCAATCTCTCTGTTCTGTGTCTTTTTATGGTTTCCTTTTTGTCACGGGACGGAGGAATAGATCATTTTTTTCCAGTGTCCATTAAAATTCCCTTTGCCTGCAGTGCAGTATGCTGTATAAAAAGAGATGAACCTGCTGCAAGTGAAATAAGCTGATGCTGCACTGCCTTCTCAGAGCAACAACAGTCTTTATAGATTATTTTTCCAAGTGTCATGAATCTCCTTCAAAGTCGCAAGTGACTTATCAATTAATATACTTAACAGTCTCATTTTCAATTCACATTCAGGCCATACAGAGTCTGTGCTTGCCCCAGCGGATGCTTGAAAGCTTTGCCTTTCAGAGAGAAAATGTTACCATGTGTGTGATGGGGGGGGTGGCAAGGGGGGGCGATTCAGGAGCAGAAAGACATGTTAAAGTGCAGCACCTGAGGCCTTCTTGTTTTCTGAATTTACAGTCTCAGGCTGGCAGTCGTATAAATGAGCGATGCTCTCTGATGTTCTCTTCCAAGCAGGCTATGAAATTGGCAGGGAGTCTTCAGTTTTGTGCTGATGTGTCCAGAATTCAAATAATTTGATTCTTGGGTATAATGACAATTGGAGGCACAGTATTACCTTGAGAAAACGAGATGGGAGAGACAGCTTCTGTATCCTGTATTGAATTAACAACCGATTCCCATTTATTCTCTCCGCTGAAAACTCTATTATGCGGGGTTCTTATTGCCCTTATTCAAGGGCATGGAATTAAAAAAGTGATATCGACAGTAATGCTCTCATCTTCCTACCATGACATTGAATAATGGGGACAAAGGAGGGAAATCTTGAAGGATGATATGCCTTTTAAAATACTGCTGATATTGAAAACATATAAAGGACAATGCATTTGAATATCAGCTGATGAAGTCATATTCAGATTATTGTGCTTTTTGGCTATGCCTTTAAATCATCTTCGCTTTTATTTTTGCCGTTGGTTTTGGAACATTTTATTTTCTCATGATTTCAGGAGAGAGCCTTTATATTCTTGAGATGAGGACAGAGGTAAAGTGTTGGGTACGCTAATTCGGAGGGAAATTTGTTCTCCTGGATCCAGAGAGCAAGAGTTAGGAATCTGGCAGGGAAAAGTCCACCAATGGACTGGTATAATTATACAGGTAGGGCAGGACTACTGCTCGAAGGGAGGCTCTTCTGGCACAAGTTGTCATCTTCCAGTTCAGCTTAAGCCCTTTCTGAAGTTACATAGACCAGATAAAACTAGTGGTGGTCCTAGAACAAAATAAGAAAATCCACTGTGGACCCTGTGACATCCTTCCTTTACAAATATATTCATTTAGGGTTTAAAATGTATTCTCCTGTGTAAATGATACCTTACACAAAATAATGAGTGTATTTCCATCAGGAAGTTTTAAATGGTATTTTACAGAGTAAGTGGTAATCTCTCCATTTTACAGGTGGGCAACTGAGAAGCAGGATATTTAACTACCTTGCCAAAAGTCACACAGGAAATACTTCCTGAAGTGGAAACAAAACACAGATCTTGCGCTCATTAGTGCAAAACAACAAAGCCTCCCTGAACTATTGAGACTCTGACCTAATCTCGACCCAGATATTAACGAGGCCCCTTACAGTAAATTTTCAGTCCAACCTCTCTGTGAGCTGGAGTTGTGGAAATCGGCTCTACAGCATGCCTGAGTAAGGTTAAAAAATTATACTGCAAAGGGTTTAGGGAACAAGTGTCAAAACTCTTCCCTGTAACGGTACCCGTTGATTCTGACTGCATCAATGCTGTCGTTACGCTGGTCTAACTCTGTGATTGCAGTTATTTTAGAGTCAGCTACACCATCATGCAGCCTGAGATCAGGATGTGGCTCAAGACCTCTTCTTAGCAATTCTGAAAAGCCAAAATCACGGTTTACTTCGTCAAAGGGAAGCTCATTTTATCTCCCGCTGCCCCTCGCAGAGTCAGGACTATCAGCAGATGGCTACCTGTGATCTGAAACACATGATCTTCGTTCAGAGACCCTTCAGCTGGCAGCGTTGCGGGGTGGAGGGGAATCCCAGTTTCCCCAGCGTACGACACTCCCTTTGATACCTGTTCATCTCCATCATTAGCGTGTGACTACAGAAAAATCAGCTTTATAGCTGATTGCCACCATCTGCAAAATTTTCTTGCCATGAACTAGCAGATGATCGTGAGGCCATAAGCACTCCTCTGCCCTGCTCGTACAATAGTGCTATCGAGATATATTTTTTGGGGGAAAGATGAGGTGGGAGAAAGAAGAGGGGCCCTGAGAGGGACATTGCATTGATGTGGCAGGGTACGATGACCTGGAAAGCTTTAAAAGCATCTGCCACGAAGCTGTTGGCACTGCCTTGTCTGGCGATGCACAGCTCACTGTGTGTACATGCTCCCGCGCACCGACCTGAAGAACGATTGCGCACCTCCACCCCGTGTCAGCATCCTGCTTACGTCCACCAAACTGTGGAAACTAACAGGGATATTGAGACTTCCTTTCTAGCTGGACAGAATATTTGGAAGGAGCCACTGAGGGTGAAGGAAGCTTTCTTGCCTGTGCTGGCAGGGATACATCTTAAGCCTAAGAATTAGAATTATACCAGCTGCCTATGGCCTCCAGAGGTCAGCATATCACTTGGGAAGAGTGAAATCACACCCCCCTCAAACTATACTTTTCAAGCGTGATCTCATTATGTCCTCTGTATAGTTTCCAACTTCCCTGGTAATGAGATTTAAAGGTTTTGTTCCCAATGCTAGTTGTGACAACAAAATCAAGAAAAGAAAAATATTGGTCTGAGAATATCCCTTGTAAAATGCAAAGTGTTGTCATTGGTCACTTGGATGAGAGATCCCTTAGGTGACAAGTTTATTGAAAATAATTGGACAAATAGATATCCATATGCTTAGGTGCTCTTCCTTACATATTAGTACTGCTAGTGTGAATGGACATGCCAACTGTCTTCTGAGCGGGCTGTCGGACTTGTTTAACTGTGTTACAAGCTTTATTTTTTTAGTACTTTTGACCACAACGTGCAGTTCTAGTGACACTCCAAAAGGGGTAACGTAGAAGTAGAAAACGGCAGAGATGAGAAACAGAGATTATCAGAGGTGTGAAACAGCTTTCACCCATGAAGGAACTTAAGACTATTCACCTCAGAAAAAGTAAGTTGGAGGGAATATGATATAGGTCTTTAAAGTCAAGAATAGTGGAAAAAAAAGGTGATAGGAAATGACGATTCATTCTCTCTTACAATATGGTGGTCAACCAATGAAGTTATCAGGCAATACGTTTTGAAATAAACACAGCATAGAATTAAACTGTGAAAATCGTTGCTTTGGGGCTTTATGGAGGCCAAAGAGTCAAAAAAAAAAAAGGGACTAGGCAAACTCTCGGAGAACGGGTCTGTGGGCTGGTGTTAAGCAGAGAGGGCTGAAGACAAGGTTACACAAAGCTCATTGGACCTTCCTGCAGGCTGGAAAGGCTTCATGCGGAGGTGACTCCCCGCTTGCCTGAACACCCGCTACTTGCCTCTGTGGGAGTAAGATACCACATGCTCTACCAGGCATACTTCTCATGTTCTAAGAAACTTTTGCTTAAGAAGCAAGTGAAAAGAGTCTTTGCAGGAAAGGCTCTGAACAATTCTTTCTAATTACTAGCAATTGCTGATTGGCTCTAGTAATATTATACTGGATTCAATAATCCGGAGCAAAATCAGGACGAGCTACCTTTCTAGGAAACCCTCATCTTACATGGTCTCCTCTGCAATCAGATAGGCTCTGTCTTAGTTGCGAAGTGACACCCAAATGTAGTTGTCTTTGGGTCACCAGCCTCAAAACATCCTCATAAACACTGAAGAGCCTCAGTGTCACATGACGCTACCTAATTTCTCCTACAACACTATCTAATTTCTCCTTAGCATGAAGAACTCTACAAGGCTTACTGAGACCTCAGTGTTCTCACATTATTGCTTTGAAACACAACCTTTAGTGGATCCAGCAGGCATCAGCCATGGACAAAGTGTAGAAACCCTGCTACAAAAAATAAATAATACAAACAAAAAAATCCATGCCATCTCCAAAAAAAGAAATAACAACACTCAAATCTTCTGTTATTTTTATTAAAGCTGCAGAGTCTTACTACACACAACAAATATTTTATCGATATAATCTAAGTTAATAAAATAGTTGAACAACTCTTTAGATTTATATTTGTATAGAAATGATCTGTGGAACATC